ACAAACAGCCATTAACAACCCCCTTCTCCCCCCAACAAGCTTCTCCAGTTACTAGCAGCATCAGGAATTGTGGTGAGTTCAAGCTTTTTTCTGTACAACAACAGCAACTTGTATTTATACATCATCCCGGAGTGGTTGACAGTGACAGAATCTGTCACCGAGCCAGGGAGAAGCTGACCGTAAGCATGATCAGAAAGAAAGGTCTTTAGAACATAAGAATTAGGAGCAGGAGTATGCCATTCGATCCCTCGAGCTTGCCATTCAATAAGATCATGGCTGATCTATTCTAATTCCACCTACCTGCCTTATCCCCATATATTTGGGCTTCAGTTTCTGGATCATTAGGACCAATTCTGGGGCAGGTGGGACCTGTATCATATGGATGGGTTGCACCTAAACAGGGCTGCGAATGTGCTTGCAGACAGGCTATCTAATGTGGTTGGGGAGGGTTTAAACCAGTTTTGAGGGGGGAAGGGAATGCAAAAAACGAAGAGCTAGAAAATGGGAGGAAAAAAACGGGGGAAGTGCAGAACAGGTCAAGTCGGTCTTGGAGTGCATGTGCCTAAATGCACGGAGTTTAGCAAACACGATTGGTGAGCTGTAGTGGTCAGGGGGATACAATGTAGTAGCAGTAACAGAGACTTGGCTCAAGCAAGGACAGGAATGGGAGCTGAATATTCCTGGCTATAATGTATTCAGGAGGGATAGGGAAAGAAAAAAAAGGAGGGGGTGTGGCAATGTTAATCAAGGAAACGGTTATAGCCGTAGAAAGGGTCGAGGTGCTGGAAGGCCCCAAAACGGAATCTCTCTGGTTAGAGTTAAGGAACAAAAAAGGAGCTGTTACGCTGGGAAGGGTATACCATAGACCACCAAATAGTGGGAAGGAAATAGATGAGCAGATCTGCAAGCAGATCTCAGACAGATTCAAGGCCAATAGAGTCGTGATAATAGGGGACTTTAATTATCCCAACATAGACTGGCAAAACAACAGCGCAAAGGGCAAGGAGGGGGAAATATTCCTAAAATGCATACAGGACAACTTTCTTGATCAGTACATTTCCAGCCCAACAAGGAAGGAAGCAGTGCTAGATCTAGTTCTGGGGAATGAAGTAGGGCAAGTGGAGCAGGTTTCAGTGGGAGAGCATCTGGGCAACAGTGATCATAACATCATTAGATTCAGAGTGCATATGGAAAGAGACAAGGAACCATCTAAGGTGAAGATATTCAACTGGAAGAGGGCAAATTTCAGTGAGTTAAAAAGGGACCTAGCCAAGGTGGACTGGAAAGAAAGATTGGCAGGTAAAACAACTAAAGAGCAGTGGGAAGTCTTCAAGGATGAGATAGCTCAGGGACAGAATAAATACATTCCCACTAAAGGGAAAAGTAAGGCTTCCAAACCTCCCTGGATGATGAAGGAAACTGTATCTAGAATGAAGCAGAAAAAGGAGGTGTATGACAGATGTCAAACCCAAGATACAGAATATAGGAAGTGCAGAAGAGGTTTGAAAAAGGAAATAAGAGGGGCTAAAAGATTATACAAAAAAAGGTTAGCTGGTAACATTAAAGGGAATTCTAAAATATTTTACAAGCATATCAAGAAAAAAGGCAGTCAAAGGTAGGATGGGACCAATTAGGGACCAAGGGGGAAATCTTATTGTGGAGGCAGAGGGCACGGCTGATGTGCTGAATGAGTACTTTGCATCTGTCTTCACGAAAGAAGTGGATGTACCAAATGCCGCAGTATTGGAGGAGAGGGTAGAGGAAATGGATAGGATAAGTATAAACAGAGGAAGTACTGAAAAGGTTGACTGTGCTGAAGGCAGATAAGTTGCCCGGTCCGGACGGGATGCAACCAAGATTACTATGGGAGGCACGGGTACAAATAGCGGAGGCTTTGGCTACAATTTTTCAATCTTCGTTGGACACAGGAGTGGTGCCCGAGGACTGGAGAGTGGCCAATGTGACTCCCCTGTACAAAAAGGGACAGAAGGACAAACCTGGGAACTACAGGCCAGTCAGCCTAACATCAGTAGTGGGGAAACTCCTGGAGACTATAATCCGGGACAGAATAAATCTTCACTTAGAAGAATATGGGTTAATTAGGGACAGCCAACATGGATTTGTTAAAGGCAAATCTTGTCTAACAAATCTAATAGAATTTTTCGATGAGGTAACGGAGAGGGTGGATAAAGGTAGTGCAGTTGATGTAGTTTATATGGACTTTCAAAGGGCATTTGACAAAGTGCCACATGAAAGACTTGTAAGAAAGATAGAAGCCCATGGTATAAAAGGGACAGTGGCAGCATGGATCCAGAACTGGCCGGGAGACAGAAAGCAGAGGGTTGTGGTGAACGGCTGCTTTTCTGACTGGAGGGAAGTGTACAGTGGCTTCCCCCAGGGATCGGTATTAGGACCACTGCTCTTCTTAATATACATAAATGATCTGGACTTGGATATAGCAAGTACCATTTCCAAGTTTGTGGACGACACAAAGTTAGGTAGGGGGTAAACAGTGAGAAGGATAGGAGCCAACTGCAGGAAGACATAGACAGAATGGTAAAATGGGCGACACATGGCAGATGAGTTTCAATGTGGAGAAATGCGAGGTAATGCATTTTGGTAGAAAGAATGAGGGGAGGCAATATAGGTTGGTAATACAATCTTAAGGGGGTAAAACAACAGCGAGACCTGGGGGTGCAGGTAAATGAATCCTTGCAGGTGGCAGGACAGGGAGATAAAGCTGTAAAAAGGGCATATGGGATACGAGGCTTTATAAATAGGGACATAGAGTACAAGAGTCAGGAGGTTATGATTAACCTATATAAAACACTGGTTAGGCCTCAGTTAGAATACTGCGCCCAGTTCTGGGCACCACACTAGAAAGGATGTTAAGGCATTAGAAAGGGTGCAGAGGAGATTTACGAGGATGGTACCAGGAATGAGGGACCTTGATTATGAGGAAAGGGTAGAGAGGCCGGGATTATTCTCATTGGAGCAGAGAAGGTTACGAGGAGACCTAATAGAGGTCTTCAAAATAATGAGGGGATTTGATAGGTTAGAAAGGGAAAACTGTTTCCACTGGTGGGTGTGTCGGTGACTCGAGGTCACAGATTCAAAATAGTCTCTAAAAGGAGCAGAGGGGAGGTGAGAAGAAATTTTTTCACGCAGCGAATTGTTCGGATCTGGAAGGCCGATTCGATAACTACTTTTAAAAACATGTTGGATGGGTATTTGAGGAGGACGGGTTTGCAGGGTTATGGGGAAAGGGCTGGGGAGTGGGATTGACATTAATTGCTCTATTCAAAGAGCCGGTACAAACTTGATGGGCCGAATGGCCTCTTTTTGTGCTGTAGATTCTATGATCCCTTAATCCCTTTATCCACAAGAAATCTATCAACCTCAGTCTTGAATATGAATATAATATCTACAGCCCTTTGGGGTAGGGAATTCCATAAATTCACTACCCTCTAAGTGAAGAAGATTTTCCTCAACTCAGTGCGAAAGGGCTTAACCCTAATTTTAAGACTGTGACTCCTGGTTATAGTTTCCCCAACCAGGGGAAAAAGTCTCCCACTATCTATTCGTGGAGTCCTGTGGCTCAGTGGTTAGAGCACTCGCTTTGCAAGTGAGAGACCTGAGTTCAATTCCAGGCAGAGGGTGAAACCTTGGGCAAGTTTCCTTACTCCACACAGAGCCTAATAATAATCCCTCCAAAAAACTAAAAACAATAATAAATTGGTCATTTTCAATCTACGACTGTTTGTGGGACATTGCTGTGCGCAATTGGCTGCCGCGTTTGCCCACAAATATACAGTCAATTCACTTTACAGTGTACTCTGTGAAGCGCTTTGGGACGTCCTCCCGACGTGAAAAGCGCTATATCAAATGCAAGGATTATTATTATTATTCTGTCGTGCCCCTTAATAATCTTATAGGTTTCTATAAGATCACCTCTCATTCTTTTATATTCCAGAGAATATAGGCCTAAATTGCTCAACCTATCCTCATAACTCACCCCCCTCATCCCTGGTACCAACCCAGTGAATCTACGTTGTACCCCCTCCAAGGCGAGTACATCCTTTCTTAAATAATCCGCTCGACTGTTTTTGCCACCTCGGTGGATGAGCTCACACTTCCCTACATTATATTTCATCTACCACCTGTTTGCCCGCTCACCTGGCCTATCTATATTTCGGCGGGATTTGAAGGTGGGGGGAGGGAGGGAGGGAGGGGGCAAGGCAGAGGTGGGATCGAGGGTTCCAGAGTTAAATCCGGGGACGACAACATCCGTGCCCCGCCCCGGATTTGGTTTACAAAACACGGTCATCCTTTGAAATCGAAAAAAAAAAACAGAAGTCGTTGGCGACGGACTCAGCAGCTCAGGCGGTGTCTGCAGAGAGAGGAAAGTGAGTCGTCGTCGTCAACAACAACAACAACAACGTGCATACATTTAATATATATATATATTTATATCTTGGCGGTGGGGGTGAATCGACCTGAAACGTTAACTCGCGTTCCGCTCTCTCCGGAGAGGTTGAGTGTTTCCCAGCGACTTCCGCTTCCATTCCAGATTCCCAACGTCTGCAGAGCTTCGCCTGATGCCAACTCAAGGACTGGGATGGCACTGGAGGAGCAGCGCAGGCGCAGACGGGTCAGGCGGTGGTGGTGGAGGAGCAGCGCAGGCGCAGACGGGACAGGTGGTGGTGGAGCAGCGCAGGCGCAGACGGGGCAGGGTGGTGGAGGAGCGGCGCAGGCGCAGACGGGACAGGTGGTGGAGCAGCGCAGGCGCAGACGGGACAGGTGGTGGTGGAGCAGCGCAGGCGCAGACGGGACAGACGAGCGGAGGAACGGCGCAGGCGCACTCGGGCGGGCAGGGAGACGAGAAGTGGGGGGGGGGAGGGAGAGAATGAGTGGGCGATAAAGCAGCGCAGGCGCAGTAGGCGAGCGAGTTGTCGCGAGACAGAGCAGAGCACGTGGGGGCAGAGCGTGGGCCGCGCGCGCACACACACACACACGCGCACACACACACAGGCCGTGAGCGGGAGGCAGCGCGAGCCGCAGAGAGTCAGTTAGTCCGCCCGCCGCCGCCCGGTGAGTCCCGAGAGCTTGACTCTCCTCACGCACCACCAAACGCGCGCTTTTGTTTCTCCTACCATTTCCCCCCCCCGTGTCACCGGGCCTCCGCGCCTCTCTCCTCCCACAGCCCCGCGTGTCGCTTTGCTTTGCCGGGCGCCTTTAACCTACTCCAGCTCCCCGGCTTGAGGCCTAACTCACTGAGCTGCCCGAGTTGCCGGTTGGCTCTCTCTCCTCTCTCCTCTCGGTGAGGCGGTTTGACCCGGCGTCCGGTTCGCTCGCGCCTCTCTCTCTCTCCCCGCGGGGGCGGGCGGGCGGGCGGGTTGGCGTCGCTGTTGCCAGGTTTGACCCCTCAGCGTGTCAGCCCAAGGTCGGCTCAGGCGAGCGGAGGCGGCGGCTGTTCTCCCGGGCTGGGGGGTGGAGGGTTGTTTAAACACCTCCGCTTCTCCCTCTCCTTCTCTTCCCTCTCCTTCCTCCACGAGTCGGGGGAGGCTCGGCCTCTCTTCCCCTCCCTCCCTCACTCACTCCCGCGGGGAGTCGAGGTCACTCGGCCTCCGTTGCTCACCTTCAGGCTGCAACACACCCCGACCTCCCCTTCTCTCTCTCCACCTGTACCCGAGCCCGGGCCGTCGCTTCTCTGTGACTCCCTCCAGCTGTCAGACTGGACCCCTTTTTTTTTGGCTGCATTTTTTTAAAAAAACCAGTCAGACTCGGGCTCCCTTTCCCTTTCCCCAGTCTCCTGGCTCCCGGGCCTGTCAGGTTTCCCCCCCCACACACACACACACACACACAGAGGCTGTTCAACGTGGAGTGGGGGGGGAGGAGAGGAGAATCGAAGCTGCTCATTGCAACGAGCGGCAGTGAATGGCGATTTCCCGTTCAAGTGTATTGTGTGTTTGAGGGTTGAGAGCACCGATGCGATTTTTTAAAATTGTATATATATATATATATATATAAATTTAAAAAAATCAGGAACCGGAGTCTCCAAAGGGTCACACGGAAACGGCTTTTATTTTACACTCCCTCCCTCCCTCCCCCCATTGCCCTCCCTCCCCCCCCCCCCCCCCCCCCTTGCCCTCCCTCTGCTTGCTTCCACACACAGGTTTTGTTCCTCCAGCAAAAGATCCAACGCGTGTTATGCGGTCAAATTATTCCTGCAGGCTGGGCTTGTAACACTTACTGCAGTGCTGCTGCTGCTACTACTACTACAACTACTACTACTACACACGGTACGTACGTATGGAATGGAATCAATCGCTCGTGGCCTTTATAATTTGGATTGATTTTCATTCCATTTTTTCAAAAATATATATTTTACGCGAGTTTCTCTTCTCTTTCCTCACCACCACCACCACCCCCCGACTGCCTGCTGGCTGGTGATCTTTATTTTGGTACACAAGTCCCACAAGTCGAGCTGCTGACATGATATTCTTATGGGGGTGTGTGTGTGTTTTTTTGAAGAGGAGCCGTCTTGGAAACGTGCAAGCAGTATTACATGCCTGCGCTGTGGCAGCCGGCAATCGGGTCCTGATAAAGCTTTTGCGAAGTCGTCTGGAAAGTTTGTAGCCAACGAGAAGGCTACAGTACGCTACTCCTGGATCCGAATCGGAAGCAATTGTTGTTGTCCATTAAGAGAAGTGGTTTTAAAAAAAAAAGAGACTTGTGGTTAAAATGAAATATCCCATATCGGGACAAGGGGCTTTGCATATGGCACAGAGAGTTCCTCTCGAGTCTTGTGTCCAATTTGATAATTGGTGGGTTGAAACTTGATCCAGTGATCTAAACTGTTCGATTCTTTCACACGCCCAGTGTGGTGTTCAACTGGTGCTGAGTTTAGTTACTGTATAGACAAATTATTCATCAAGAGATTGTTTCTTCAAAGGTTCTTTTGTAGTTAGAAATTAAATATGGAAAATCTTTAACTTTCAAATTTAAGGTGGATCTTTTATCAGTTCCTGTCACCTTATGGGGTCCCTGAAGCTATATTCTGCCTCCCCCTTTCTCCTCACCCTCCTTTTGTTTCCAGAGCAACCTTGATGCTGTTTCAGGTGGGTCTTGCCTCAGGGTGGCTTTAGGTTGATGTTGAGCCAGTGAAAATGGGGAATCTTGCCATCAAATGTTTGGTTTCTGTTGCTGTATAGGCTGGGCATTTGAATTTGCAACCTAATTGTATGTATGTTGTAGCGCACTTTATAAAGTGAAAAAGTGGCTGCTGCTTCCTTTTCACGCTATAGGGAATTTTTAAAAAATGATCTGATGCTGGGGAGAGGGGAATTGGATCATCTCAAATTTTTAAAAAAAAACTAGTTGCCTGTTTAATAGCTGGACATCAAGTTCTCAGGCTCCAGCCCACTCTTGAGCTTTAACATTTCATTTAATAGAAATACCTATTTGGATTCATAAGTGATATAGGGGTGTTAACCTCTCTCTCAGCCTCTATTTGTGAAAATGGACGGTTTGCCTTAGAATGCAGCTTTTTCTTTTGTTGGAGAGTGAGCACCTTTTGTAAAATTGCAGAAATTAACTTTCTGTGCACAATCCTTGATTTAATATCTTAACTGATGTTGAATCTTCCATCTGGTGATGGCAGGATGATTTTGTAGCTAGGTCTACTTAATCACAATGCCTTGTCTAGTTATGCATGTGTTTGTAGTTATGGTGATGTAATCTTCACTAGATGGAACTGGCCTTGGCTATCCCAGATGACTTGCACCTGCCTAGAAATCCAGGATGAGGCCTTTTAAAGCTTTGACTTGTTAAGATTGTTTGTAACAGGTGCTGGCATTCAACACTGTTGACGCTGCAGTTTTTCAAAGAACGTGTTTTCTGTTAATTTTTCTTACCTCCTGATGCCATACATGCTTTACACTGTACTAATTTGTGAATTACTTGCCATAGGAGTTGGAAGAAAATTGTATTTGAAATTAAATCTTAAAGTTTTGAGTAAACGAATGGTAGATTCAATTGTTTAATATTGTAGTTCTCAGGTGTACAAATGTTGCTTTTTCCTTGAGCACCACAGTTGTAAATTTGGGACATTTGCATAAAGCTACAGGACATCAAATGGGTAAAGTTCTGAGGAATCACCTGGCCAATTTGAATGAAGAGTTGGGCAGTGCCATCTATAACGCAAGTTGTTTTCTTAGAGTCCTGGTATTCTGAGTGATTTTTCTTCCTCCATGACTCTTGTTGGGTTACTCATCTGGTGCTGTGCATTATACAGTCTTGCCTTTGGTCATGGTATAGTTTTAGGTAAATGAGGCAATATTACTATTTCTAGACAAATGTGTCCAGTTTTGATTCATGTCCCTTTGCTGCAGATTGCAAAGAAAACTATTGAGTTGTTGAACCTGAAGGATGAAGCACTACATTTTTCTAGCCATTTACTTGGTGATTCCAAAAAAGGAACGCTGAAGTCATTTATGACTTCCACCACCTGGGTGATGTTCACCAATAGCACAGACCTGGATTGAATTGGGGACCTTTCTGGTGTCTGTAGATAACTTGCACACTGGTTGTTGTTCTGATGCACTCAGCCATTAGTGGAACTCCTAGGCTGCCCATTTGACAAGTTTTGAAGTAAATCATCCAAACACATGATCAAAATTTTGGGCATTGCATCCTGGTAATTGTCCCAAGAGTCGTGTGCTATAAGAGATCAGCTGGCTAGGGACAAATCAGGGTTGAAGTGTTGGATCTTCTGATCCATGTGGCTCAGTATTTAGGAGATGGAGGCTAATGTTATGCAGCTGTGGTAAAATCTTAAATCAACTGGAGTCAGACCAGTTCATTTCACATGCAATATATCTGTAGTATACCAAATGGATTCCAAATATATTTTAAAATTTCAGATATCTAGGTTTTATTCTTGGGTTATGCTGAGTTAACTGCTCTCAGGCTTGGCACCAATTGGGGGCACTACAATTGACCTTGGTGCCCTTCTAATGGGTCAGAAAAATATTGTACGTGTTCCTTCTTCTGGTTGCTATCCTGTGACCACTGCTGGAATGTTTGTATGCTGGTGAGATACCAGAAGACTGCTGGCTTTCAAATTATTCCTTCATACGAGTCATGGCTTTCGGAGAACATCTGAGATTGAAATCTTTAATTGCAACTTGTGAAGTCTCTAGCTGCAGTGATTTTATCCCACTTATCGGTGCTTTCCTTTTCTAGTAGCTGCAAATTGATAGTGCAGCCAAAGAAGCTTAAATTCTGTATGAAGACCATTTCTGGATTTTTTTGGGTTCTTGGAGCTTATCCCCTTGTAGCAGGTGACTTTGCTATAAAAATTCCCCTCCAATGGAATTGCTTGAGCCCAGAAGTACTGTCTAAAAAAGCAACCTTCTGTACAGGTCCTTCAAATTCTTGAGCTTCAATAAGGTTGTAGTTTCAATCCTTGACCAGGGCATAGCAATCCATCACAAGGCTTTGCCCTGCCTGTGAGTAAATCTTATGTTTGTATTTCTCCATTCCTGGCTTTATGCCACATCAAAATTTAAGGTAGTTTTCTGCACTCTTTTAAGAAAAGTAAATTTATACCAGGCCTTTATTGGTCAGTGCAGGTAACTTCACAAGATGGAATGAGCATAGCTTGGGGATAAGTCTTACTTTTCCTTTCCCTGGGGAATGCCTGTAATTATGTTTGTATCATGCTTGTATAACTGAAAATAAGTTGCCATATGGGGAACTTGTAAGTCCACTTTTATCACTGACACTGCAATAGTTGGCCTCAGTACCCCTATGCATTGTTGCTGGAAAATGCACGTAGATGGATGTCTTAAAGATGGGTTTGCAAAGCCCTTTATCAAATATCTCGTCAACTCATTGTTTTAGCTTTAGACTTGGGTACAAAGAATGGCAAAAATACTAGATGAGTGGTGCTTCAAGAGAGCTTGCATGCAGAGAGGTGAATTGAATGTTGCGTGGGGAAAGATAAATTTGCTTGGCTAAATTGAAAAGAACTCATGAACTTAAAAGAACTCCAGCACCTTGGAATGTCCTCCCGACGTGAAAGGTGCTATACAAATGTAATTTTGTTGTTGTTACTCCATTTGAGAAAATTAAATTCTCCTATGAAAATTATATTAGGAACAGAATAAGCCTTGACTCCCTTCTGCCATTTGCCTGGAATACAACCGTTGTCCTATGAATACTCTCTTTTTCCAAAGCCTGTGTATATTCATGTAAATTGATCTCTAGTTGGGCAGAGAACATTGCACAGAACTTTGGAAGTCTCCGTTATCTGGATTCCAGTGTAGTTTAGTTGGGCTGTTACAAAACAAGAATTGTATGCCATAGGGCTCCTAGGATCCTTACTCCACTGGCTTGGTTGGAAACGTAACCTAGCATTTTATTTTACTGTTGCCTCACACTAGACATGATGCGATAAAAACAATAATAAATACCGTTAATTTCAGTCACCCCTTAGTGTGTTCTACCCCATCCTTTGTTTTGTATTTTTACACCTTATATGCAGTACCTTGCATTTATTATTGGAGGGCCTAGATTGGTGGAAAATGCCTTTTTAAAGACATTAAACAGTTGGAAATGCAAATGATTTGTTTGCTATAGCTGGTGCAAATTCATTCCTTGTCAAATTTCTTAGTTTCCACAACTTTATTTGTGCCTCGAGAGTTCAGCAATATTCCAGTTTGTGCTCCAGAATTTACTCTGTGAATATCAAGATTTGTATCTGAAATCATATTTGCATAGCTTAAACTACTTAGTTATTGTAGATGAAATTAATTTTCCATTTCTTCAAGTATTAAAGCAGACTTAGTGAGTACTCCTGCATTTTCAGAAAGAAGAACTTACTCTTTGATTAATAGCTCTTAAAAGAATTTTATATAAACGGCATGAATGTGCTTTCTGACATCTTGCATTGGAAAACCCAGCCAACTGTTTGGAGCTTTCTTCTAATTACTCAAATTATTTTCTGTTTTTTTTCAGATTTCCAAAGCAAATTCTAATGTGTGTGACTGCTTAATTTGACTAAACGTGTAGCTTTCAGCAGTTGAATATTGTTCAAAACCAGAGTGCTTTTGTTAGGAATGGGAAAAGGAGCGACTCAGATATTTTGATGCACACATGAAACCCTATTTCTGAGGTTCTAGATTTTAGTTGCCATTTAAATATAAACTTTTTTTTCCCCCTCTGTCTCTCCCTTATTTCCCCCCCTACGACTAACTCATTGTTGAGACAGGCCATACTGTCTGGTAGTAATGAAATG